TATATATATATATACATATAATACATTTTAAATGTATCTTGACTAAAAGCAGTTATTTCTGAATGCAACATGTTCCAGTAACAAATGGCTCTATAGAGAATGTGCATAGTTTAGGGCTGAGGTGTTAAAGTAACAACAGAGACTTATATTGTAAAAAAAATTGTTTGTCAGAGGTGGGTAATAATTGTAAGAAAAAGGCCAGAATGTTTATGTAAAATCCACATTTTAAAAAGAGAAGAAAGCTGTCATTGACCTTAAACCATGATGGACTCCTATTGGAATTCTAATTGGTTCTAAAATCACAACTAATCTAACCCTGAAGCTTTGTTTTGAACAGTTTGCACTTTACCAAGATCTTCTGAGGTGCTGAACCACACAGCAGGACAGTAGTCAAGATGGCATTGAACTAAAGCCTGTTGTACCGATGAGACATGAAATGGGCAGTGCACTGAATTCTGTTTCACTCATACAGTATTACCTTTGAATATGTGTGAATCGTTTTTCAAGAGCTGAACTCAAAGATCCAAGAATATTTCCATGTACACGGTTTAGACAATTTTTTCACATTATTGTTCACAGTGAACAATATTAAGGCACACCTGTGCAACAAGTATGCTTAGAGGGGGGCGTGCTTTTTCTGTGGCAGCTCACAAGCTATGGAAATACCTTCCTTTGGACATAAGATAGGCCTCCTCCCTTGTTTTTAAATCGCTTCTTAAGACCACTTTTTTGGCTTTTGTCACAATCAGGGATGCTTGACTTTGTTTTATTGTGTTTTTTATTTGTGTTTTATTTGATTGCTCCATTTTATTTTTTTCTATTTTATGATTGTATTGTATTTTATGAGTGTGTGCAGCACTTTGGTCCTGTCAGTGTTTAAAGTGCTTTACAAAAAAAGTTGGTATGGTATGGTATGGTATGGTATGGTATGGTATGCTGTCTAATCATCATCTTGATGTGCCACACCTGTGAGGTGAATGTTTTATCTCAGCAAAGGAGAAGTGCTCAAATACTCAGATTTACACAAATCATCTCATGAAAAAGGAGAGCAAAAACAAGTCTTGCATTTATATTGAGTGTATTTACACACACAGTAGTGCACTACATCAAAACACTGTACACATTTATTTGTAGAGATACACAATATGCACATGGGCTAAAAATTAACCTTTCTCAGCTAAATGTTGTTTAATACTTGATACAACCGGGTATCGATGACTGCAGATAAACAACCATTGCCCAATCAGAACTCTCAGGAAGTGCAGTTTTCCTGCAAAATTAGCTTGTTTCTCCAGTACAATGGTAATTTTAAGCCTGTTTTATACTTCAGTATGATGTGAGACGGTGGGTCAGTGATTGCATTTTTTCATACATCTTATTCTTGAATGAGTATAAATGTGCTTAAAACACAGTGGGCCATAAAATAACAATTCCTCTCTCTGCCCTCCCACAGCTCATAGATAAATATATAAACAACAATAGTGAGATGGCTGGATTTTTTTCTTTCTTTTTATTCTTTTTTTTCACTCAACAATCAGTATTGTGTTGGGTGAAACGCCTGAGGAGGAAAATCTTGATGATGGAAAAAAACGTGATGAATAGGATCAATAAAAACCAGCTGCTCATCAAAGCTGTTCATCTTGCTAATTTAACAAACTGCTTCAGAGAAAATATCCTTTTGAACAAAATGCAGAAGGAAGAGCTGCTCGAAATTCTGCCCTGGTCCTGTTCCTCAGTGCTGTGTTGCTCCTAACAAACAAACACGCCCACAAAGTTCTGACCAATCACATAATGTGAGCCGCGAGGTCCGCATAGCAGAGTTCTGACTGGGGGTAATGCACCTGACGGCTGTCACCAGGGGATATCAGCAAGAAAGCAGACAGAAATGATGCCACCGAGCCATTGGTTCAGATATGTTGACGACACCTGGGTTAAAATTAAAGCCCAGGAAGTCCAACATTTCACTGATCACATCAACTCTGTGGATGAATATATTAAGTTCACACGAGAGGATGTAAAAAATGGCAGGTTGGCGTTCCTGGATTGTGATGTCTCGGTTTCGGACGGAGGACGTTTGGAAACTGGCGTGTATCGTAAGCCCACCCACACAGACCAATATTTGCGTTTTGACTCCCACCACCCACTGGAACACAAGTTAGGAGTGATCAGGACTCTGTACCACAGAGCAGACAGTGTCCCTACAAACCCAGGAGCCAGGCAGAAAGAGAAATCACACACACGACAGGCCCTGGAGCAGTGTGGTTATCCTGACTGGGCTTTCCTGAAAGCAGACAGGAAACACAGACAGGATTCCATGCAACCTTCAGGTGAAAATGAAGACCCCAAACCCAGACCCAAACCAGTGGTTATTCCGTATGTTGCGGGTGTTTCGGAGAAACTGAGACGTTTATTTTCTAAACATGATGTCCCAGTAGCTTTCAAACCCCAAAACACATTACGGCAAAGGCTGGTTCACCCCAAAGATCCGGTGCCCCGACACAAACAGAGCATTTTAAACCCTTTTCCTCTTGTGATTTCGCAGCATTAGCAACAAGCCTCATCCTCCATGAGCTGTGTGAGAGCACCGCAACCACCAGGAAAATGCAAGGTATAATTACACAGAACACCTGCAGCAATTATTATTTTGACTTCAGGATCAAGTTGTGAAATAAACCTTTGTTGTAGCTTTGGTTCATTGTTCCAGAGTCCTTTGATCTTATTCAAATGCAAAAGATGAGTGTTTTTATAATTGATTTGGGATCCATTACCAGTTACTGTTTATTCATCTTCTCTCTAAAATAATCCTGATAAAACATTTTCTTTTCTGACGATATTGACTTAAGTTCTGGATGGATTTAGGTTCTAAAAAAGAACTAAACACTTCTAATGAGCAATGGTGGACAAAGTACTGAAATTCTTTACTTGAGTCAGAGTAATGATCCGCCTGATCAAATATTAGTTAAAGTAAACAAAGCTCTGTTAAATTATTACTTAAGTTAAAGTGCTGGAGCATGTGCTTTCAAAAATATTTAAGTACTGAAAGTACTTAAAATTAAAAGTATTTTTTTAACCAATGTATTTCACTTGAATTCAGTTGAGAATAATTGGGAAACCTTCTGGTATAATGAACAGATCAGTAACTCCTACTATAATAATAATAATAATAATAATAATAATAATAATAATAATATAATAATGCTTCAGTTGTTTTTCTAGATGCCCAAAAATGCCATTCAGTTTCATGCATTCATTCATTCCTCATTAGTGGAAGTTAGCTTGGCTGCCCATCTACACTTGTGGTCCCTCCAGACCACCACAATCACACCAACATATTTATACATGGGGAAGTTAGGTCAAGAGCCTTGCCCAGGGACACAACCATATTATGTGATCATGCAGGGATTTGAGCTGGCAATGCTCAGGTTGGAAGGTTAAAGTCTAACCCTCGTGCCACTGAAATCTACTGTATATCTTCCTAATTATACCACTTTTACAAGAACTGTCCAGCTCATCTAGACTCTAGCCACCATTTCAAGGACAAGGCATGGAAAAGCTTTTTTTTTAATACTAGACCCTAATATTAAGTGACTAATTTAGAAGCTGTGAATCTAATCTTTGGGGGAAACATTTCACACTGAGTTTTTTAGTTATTTGTAGATACTAATTCGCTGAATTGAAAATAGTACTTGCTACAATAAACTAGAAACATATTGTACAAAACAATTTAACAAAGTTTATTTGGTAGAAATCCATTAATAGAACAAAGGGACTAAAAGTCTTAGATGCTGTAGACACAAGTCTGTTAATATCAGGACTAATCATGGTCTAAACAAAGACCTGCAACAGTGCTGAAACATGTTTAGTATACACACACCTATAAGTCAGCACTGGTAGGGTTGGGTTTCATTTTCACAAATTTTAACTCTCAACTCGAAGAAAAAAATTGGCCAGAAAGAGACTGCTTGTATCTTGAATAATTCATTGGTTGAAACTCTCATAAGTCAAGTAATACGCAGGACCTTGTAATAAATAAATAAAAAGAAGCAGTTAACTTCACTTATGTATTCTTGTTTTAGTAACAAACAACTCAGGCGTGACACCAGCTGGACAGTGTGGGACTTGGGTAAAAGAATCTAGCGGAGGGTTCTTCACATCCCCCAATTACCCTGAGAAATACCCACCTGAGAGGGAATGCATCTACATCATAGAAGGTGAGACTCTCCCAGCCTACTGGTTACATTCCTCTCTTTCCTGCTTTCATTCTTTCCCGCCTTTTAAGCGCTCTGCCTACTGCAGCCTTACCTCGACAGTGCGTCGACCTGTTTTTTGACGAAAAGTACGCCATCGAGCCGTCCTGGGAGTGTAGGTTTGACCACATCGAGATCCGTGACGGCCCCTTCGCCTTCTCTCCTATCATCGGTCGCTACTGTGGCCAGGAAAGCCCCGCCTACATCCGCTCCAGTGGGAGGTACCTGTACATCAAGTTTGTAGCTGATGGTGAACTAGAGGCCCTGGGGTTTTCTGCACGGTATAACTTCACACAAGGTGAGAGATGGGCCTGATGTGCACGAACACCTATCATTTTAACAGACCTCCATTCAAATTAAACCCAACAGCTGACTGAAAAGTTGGCCTGGATTTATTGCAGGAGGATTGTGTCATCTGGTTTTATGTAGTACACAAGAGTGTTCATGCAGTCCTCCCATCATTGTTCCATTTCTGTCCTATGACACGTTTTAATTAAATTGTTCTGCAGTATAAAATGTTTCAGTTTCACATTGAATGTCTTGCAAAATTTCCATTCTCAATTTTCTAACAGCTACAACTGTATGGCATGATTGTATTAACATTTGATGCTTTCATACATCTGCTATCCATCCATCCATCCATTTTCGACAGAATCTCACTACATAATATTTTTGGTGCCCCCGTGTGAGGCCAGGAAGAGACGCTAACTTTATAATAAATGCACAAATAGACATAACCCCTCCTCATGCTTATTTCCTGAGTGTACAGCGTATCAGTTATTAAAAATGGTGGACATTTTTAACCTACATGGTATCACGCTGCTCCGATAAGGAATAAGTCCATATCCAGCAGTCACAGTGCAAGGGGCGGGGTACACCCTGGACAGGTCGCAAGTCCATCACAGGGCCACACATAGAGACAAACGAGACAAACAACCATACATCTGCTATTTGTAGGAAATTAGTCTAAAGACCTAGATAGATGCAGAAACCTTCATATTTGAATTTGTCATTCACATTATTTTCTACTGTTCTTTCAAGTTTCTACTTCTCTCTCAGTTGGGACTGGTTCGGGTTAGGGTAGGAATTACAAATACAACCCCAATTCCAATGAAGTTTGGACATTGTTTAAAACAAATAAAAGCAGAAAATGATGATTTACAAATCCTTTTCAACCTATATTCAATTGAATACACTACAAAGACAATATGTTTCGAATTTGATGCTTGTTCCACGTTCCAAAAAAGCTAGGACAGGGGCAACAGAAGACTGGGAAAGTTGAGAAATGCTAAAAAACAGTTTTTTAAAGCATTCCACAGGTGAACAGGTTAACTGTAAACAGACTAGTGTCATGATTGTGTATAAAGGGAGCAGCTCTGAAAAACTTTCAAGCAAATATGGAGCAAGGTTTACCACTTTGTGAACAACTGCATGAGAAAATAGTCAGGTTAAGAATGTTTCTCAATGTACAATTGCAAGAAGTTTAGGGATTTCATTATCTACATTCCACAAAATCATCAAAGGATTCAGAGAATCTGGACAAATCTCAAGCAGCAAGTCCAAAACCCAACATTATGTGTGATATCTTTCTGTAACGGTTATTACCACATGGGCTCAGGAACAATTCAGAAAATCATTGTCAGTAACCACAGTTTGTCGCTACATCTACAGGTGCAAAGTCAAAGCCACGTGTCACCGTAGAGCTGGTGTCTCAGTAAGAAGGTTGCTGGATCAAATCCCAGCCTGGGTTCCTTCTGGGTGGTGTTTACATGTTCTTCTCTTGCATGGGTGGGTTTTCATCGGTTTCCACTCACAGACCAAAGACATGCACGTTAGCTTCACGGGTACACACTTTTAATGCATTGATACGTGCTGCATCTTCAGCAAGAGATTGGTTGAATGCTGCTAACGTGTTCCTGTTCGTTCCGTTGGCTCAGCAGTTGCAGCTGACCAGAACATGGGAAAGCCTACAAACACACACACACACACACACACACACACACACACACACACACACAC